CCATCGTCCTCACTGTCCACTCGGCCCTCGCTGTCTCCTCGCTTTCTCTTTCTCTTTTTCTTAGTTGACTCTTGGCTGGGGACTACGGACAACAGCAAAATGAAAATTGCAATTAAAAATATCAATTAAAAGGTCCCACATCGTGAAAACACATCCTATTTTGTTATGTAGTTCTAATAGAGTTGGAGGTGTAAAATATAAGCTATGAAAATATGAAGTTGCTTCTGATTCCGTTCCTCTAGCACCAACACCCACACATAAAAACTGGACATCATGCTAAGGATTTGCATGAAAATAAATATAATACAGGATCACGACAGTGAAAACAGACCACTTATTAGCCATAAGGTGCCCGCTTGACTTGTCATCAAGGCTTCTTAATAGTGGGGGGAAAATGTTGCTAATTCAAGTAATTATAAAACATTAGGAACATACATAGTGTTTTCCATGTTGTTGGGCTGGCCAAAGCAAATGGAAGCTCTGACAATAAGTTTTCAGAAGTATCAGAACACTTCAGCGTTTTCTTCATCAGTTTCTTCCTCTCCCTCCTCAACTTCCTTCTAGTCTTCTTCTCACTTGATCCTGAAGGAGCTGTCAAAAAACAAACAAGTTTATCATACTGTATCTACATGAACTGAATATACAAATGAAAAAAAGAACAGACATGCAGTCATAGGCATGCAGTGTTACCCACAGACTCGACACGGCTCATGAAATAGTGTGCTAGACACAGCACCAGAACCCAAAATTATGATACCCAAAATCTGAAAGTCTGAGAATCATACAAGAGGTATTGGTACTGAGTATTAAGTTTCTGGCACCGTAACATTTTTACAGTGTGCTTAAGTTGCTTAAGTGCAGAATGCCGGCATAGAAGATCGTGTTCTTCTAACGTTAAATTATTGCTACTGTACGATAGGGCTGCTCAATTAATCGAATTTTAATCACGATTACGATCTGGGCTTTCAACGATCATTAAAAATGACTGAGCCGATTATTAGCCCCTCCCTAATTTATCCGCGACACCTTAAAGGCCGGTCCGTGAAAATATTGTCGGGCATAAACTGGTCCGTGGCACAAAAAAGGTTGGAGACCGCTGATTAAGAGGACCCGAGGGAAGCTCGGAAAGCTAAGCAGAAGTTATTTGGAGAGTGACTGCCGCTGGTTGAAAAGAGAGTTTAAAAAAAAAAACTTCAGTGGTGTTGCACACTATTTTATATTATTTTTTTAAAGTCATTGTTAACCCTTTAAAGCCGGTCAGAGCAGCACGCTCCGTTTTGCGTAACTATTTTTAAATCCCTGTAGAACCTGGACAGTGTCAGCTAGCGCAATAATTTGTTTTGCATATGAAACCGGAGGAGTTGTACTTACATCTTATGCCATCAGCTTGTCCTCGGTCACGGTTTCGTTCCACATATAGCTTTGCAAAAATTGCATAAAAAGCGCTTGCAGGAACAAAAACATAATATTCCAGAAACACGCTTCGCCGTTCCTATCAGCTGTTCGTAACACTTCCCACAGTGAAATGATGCACATGCTGTTTTCTTTGCAAATTTGCATCATAGGATTGTTTTTTGTTTTTCCTGCAGTATATAAAAATTGCTGTTTCTCCAAAATAAAACTATGAAGACACTCAAAATAAATTTCCTGTTGTTGTAAACTATTTTTTGCAACTTTATTGTATTTAAAGTTTTGAGGGATAAGCCTCTTAAATTTCTCCAAGTAGAAATATATGTAAACAAAACAAAAGCGATTTTCAATTTTTTTTGTAGTTTATTGCACTTTTTTGCAATTTATGTAATTACTATGGACTTAATGCATACATATTATTAAAATATGGGCTATAACAGTTGTATTGATGTATAGCAACTTGAAATGCTCCCACAAATGGCACTACAGCATGTAAAAAAAATAATATAAGCTCTGGTGGACTTGGTTCTATAGTAGGTCTTAAAGGGTTAAATAAATATCGTCAAATAATCGTGATCTCAATTTCAGTGAAAATAATCGTGATTATCATTTTTGCCATAATCGAGCAGCCCTACTGTACGAGTCGTCATCTAAATTGCATCTGGACTTTGACTCAGGCAGAACCGCATTATAAAACGTGTTAAGCCATAAGCTTAAGAGTTTCTGGCAAAAACTTAAAGTTACGTTTGGTCACCTCATAAAATTTTAAAAAGCAGTTATGAAACTTTTTTCATTTAAATTCAATCATGCAAGGACACGTGGCAGTCATGTTTACTAGTCTATTGTTGTCCACACTCACATTTGATAAATATTGCTTTGCTAAATAAAACACAGATTTCAAATTATGTGGTACCAGGAAGCCAACAAAAAAGTGAATCTATTCCCCAATTAAACCAAAGATTAGTCAGTATTGTATGACAGTTTCAGCCATTTAACTTACTGGACACCGAGGCAGCTTCAGGATCTGCAGGACTTTCCTGGACCTCCATGCTGACTGCCCCTGTCTGGGCTGAAGTCATCACCATCTCTCTCAGGTCCTTGTGCTCTTCTCCGACCTCCTTTCCTGCCAGATTTTCATCACCCTCATCATCCTCATCTGATGCAACTGCAGTTGTGTCTCTTCCGTAGGAGATGCTGGCTGGCTGCATATCACACACGGTGAGCAGATGATGATAGGACGGTGCTGTCACCTAAAACAGAGAGGCCATGTATCATTTCCAGGTTACACTTTCTGCAGCCAGCTTGATTTTTCTCTTCATTACCTGAAATCTGAACCGCTGTGCAGGCGGCTTGAGGCGAAGAGCTCGTTGGCAATGACTGACAGATACTGAATGCTGACTCCTAAGCAGCACTTCATTAACAGCACATATCCTATGTAAACACGCGCTTTGTGAACGCTTAGACCCGAGGCTCAATATCACACGGCTGAAGATCATAACACACAAGTCTGTTCAATTTTAGATATAAACTTTTAGATTTTTAAACAGAGAAATGTATGAAGTAGGCATCACAGAGAACAACATTGCAACTACCACAAAAAACAAACAAACCCACAAGTCTGCAGCTTCTTATGAAACTCAAAAGACTGACTTTACCTCCATTTACAACACCTGTTGAAATATATCAGAGCCATGCTGCAGAACATCTGCTGAGCTACACAACTGTTAGCTAACTCTCTCTAACGGAGCTGTGCTACTGTTTATCAAACTAAACGAAATACGCGCACATTTTTCTTACTTTTTTTTATATCGAGCTGGCGCAAAAAGCACGCAGGTGGTAGTGTTTGTATCAAAACTGGTAAGGTAAATAACACAAAATAATATTCATGCCAACGCGCTAACTAGCAGGACCTACCGGAAGCATTCATTTGTAAACAATATCAAACTTCCGGTCTTGAAAAAATAAAATAAAACAAACATTTTCAAAATAAAAGTACAAGTTATATGTCCTCTCCATTTAGGAAAACAAAGACACTAAAGACACAATCATATTCATCCAGCTTAGTTTAACTTCATATTTACTATTTCTTTCCACCGTAAATTTCCCTTTCACGAATGCCTTTCTGCAGAAGCTCTACGCCCCAGGGGGCCTCAAAACACAGTTTAAGTACCACAGTGCTAATCTAAAGAATTAATAACACGTCATTTATGTGACATTAATTTGGCGTTGCTAGCAAATCAAAGGACCGGATTAAACGTAATTATTCCGTCAAATACTAGAATACAGCGCAGTTTATGTTAGTTCATTTTATCCATCCATCCATCCATCCATCCATCTTCATCCGCTTTGTCCGGGGCCGGGTCGCGGGGGCAGCAGCCTAAGCAAAGAGGCCCAGACCTCCCTCTCCCCAGCCACCTCCTCCAGCTTATCCGGGGAATACCAAGGCGTTCCCAGGCCAGCCGAGAGATATAATCTCTCCAGGGTGTCCTGGGTCTGCCCCGGGGCCTCCTCCCGGTGGGACATGCCTGGAACACCTCACCCAGGAGGCGCCCAGGGGGCATCCTTGTCAGATGCCCGAACCACCTCAGCTGGCTCCTTTCGATGTGGAGCAGCAGCTGCTCTACTCTGAGCCCCTCCCGGATGGCCGAACTTCTCACCCTATCTCTAAGGGAGAGGCCAGCCACCCTTCGGAGGAAGCTCATTTCTGCCGCTTGTATCCGCGATCTCGTTCTTTCGGTCACTACCCACAGCTCGTGGCCATAGGTGAGGGTAGGGACGTAGATCGACCGGTAAATTGAGAGCTTCGCTTTTACACTCAGCTCCCTCTTCACCACGACGGACCGGTGCAGCGTCCGCATTACTGCAGCTGCAGCCCCAATCCGTCTGTCGATCTCCGGCTCCCTTCTCCCATCACTCGCGAACAAGACCCCGAGATACTTGAACTCCTCCACTTGTGGCAGGAACTCATCCCCGACCCGGAGTGGGCACTCCACCCTTTTCCGGCTGAGAACCATGGCCTCAGATTTGGAGGTGCTGATCCTCATTCCCGCTGCTTCACACTCGGCTGCGAACCGTTCCAGTGCGAGCTGGAGGCCCTCACCCGATGAAGCCAACAGAACCACATCGTCTGCAAAAATCAGAGATGAGATTCTGAGGCCACCAAAGCGAAAGCCCTCCGCCACTTGGCTGCGCCTAGAAATCCTGTCCATAAAAATTATGAACAGAACCGGAGACAAAGGGCATTTTATTTAGATGACAAACTTTACACCAGCCAAAAAGAAAAAAAAGAAAAAAAAAAAAGAAAAGAAAAGAAAAAAGAAAAAAAAAAGTTTGTCACACACAATTTTTCATTTTCTATGAATATAATGTAAACATGTATAAAGTGGCTTATCATTGAATATGTGGTCTTTGCACTCTTTAGTCTTTCTTAGAGTGAATAAAAGTCAAGAATATAGAAAATAACAGCAGAAATATTAGCTGAACTAGGTTAAATTATACTGTAAATACACTGGTGTTTTGAACTGTTCAGGACCCCTCAATTTAAAAAAAAAAAAAAAAAAAAGGAAAAAAGAAAAAGAAGACAACAGATGTTTTTTTACATTTTTATTCACAATTTTAAACATTGGCTTGATTTTTTTTTTCTGAAAGATGAAAATAACTTGCAGATTTACATAGCAACCGTGAAACTAATCACAATATGTTTGACTTTGATATAAATATATTTATTATTTATCTTAATGATCAAAGGACTTACGATGTCACTGTGTACATACAGCTGTAGCTGTCACTTTTGTTTTTAGAGATAAACAGCAGTTGGTACAGTTGAAAGTAGTTTTATGACTATCTACACCCATATACTGTGTCTCTGACCTCTTCTTTGACACTTCATGATCACACCTGTTGACTCTGCAACTACCCTTACAGCTGAAATATCTTAAAGTACTGAAATAAAGGTCACAAAGACGATTCTGTGCTGTCCTTTTGTTTCACAATGTACAAAATAATTATTTTGCATGATCAAAACCATAAAATTTTCGCTTCCTACTCAAATGGTCAGAGCAATCTACACTACTGAAGTGATACAGCGCAAAAAAAATTAGATTACAAAAGAGTAATGCATGGGATATATATACAGTTTCTTTGACTTGTAATATCTGAATTTACACTATCATTATTTACCAAAAACGAAAAATAAAACTCCCACCACGATTACTACTTTTAGCAGCTACATTCTGTGTCTTTCCACTTGTATCTTTAATTGTCTGGATATCTGCGTGCTTCAGTAATGCCTTTCGAATTTCAGAAATGGCATCGTTATTTTGCTGACACTGCAACAATCCATGCACTGTCTCATGGTAGAAAACATGGAAAGGTAACACAACATTAGAAACATTATTCTGTATTTTCATTAAAGTTACATGCTTGGGTTCATGTGCGTGATGCATCAAAACCAGAATGACAGGCTGAGAACCTACAGAGAGCAAAAAAGAGGAGACGGATTACGAGAACATAACATAACAGTGGAAAAGTATTAAAAGAAAAAAATTTTAATGGCCACAGATTTTCTTATACTATAGAAACATTAGACAAAATTCATGCTATTCCTGATGCTTTTAAAAGCTCATCATTATTATGAGTTACTTTCAGGTCGTATTCTCAAACCCAAAAATGTCTCATAAAACACAACTGCAATTTTTTGAATGGATGACTAATTTAATTCTTTCCCTTACCTTTGACTTGCGTCATGGCTGCATCAATATCTGTCCCCATACGTGAAACAATGGGACAGAAGACAATAATGGCCTGGCAATCCTGATTGCTGTCTTCCTGTTCGATCAAATTCAAATCTGGATCCTCATTTAAAGCCTTTACTTTTTCCAGTATCTGTTGATGGGCATTAAAGGTTTTTCCACTTATCACCATCTTGTACTTCAGTGTGGCTATAGAAATAATACAAAAAATTACAAATAAAGAGCAAGTTAAATTCACAGGAGAATCAAATTAAACTTCCTGGAATACAGTGATTCATGATAAATGAAATAAAAGACTTTGCTTCAATGAGTGAAATCAATTTATTAATATAGCACAAAAAATTCTTGCTTAAATTTCAAAACATTACTAGAATGATTAACAGAGCTGTCTGAGTCTTTTATATATAAAGTTTTGAGTTGAACAGGTTTTAAACATAGTGTTTTAGATCATCTAAATGCAAATATAAAAATGTTAAGCATTCTCGAAAATATATGTGCTCAGGTAACTATACAACATGCAGCTGAAATTTTAGGGTTTATTTTTCAATACAATTTTTTAGAGTGGAACAAAATATCATTTGATACACTGTACTGCCAAAGGTATTTGCTTGTCTGCTTTTACACACATATGAACTTAAGTGGCATACCATTCTTAATCTATATGGTTTAATATGATGCCAGCCCATTGTTTTCAGCTATAACAGTTTCTAACTCTTCTCGGAAGGCTTTCCACAACGTTTAGGAGTGTTTATGGGAGTTTTTGAGCATTCTTCCAGAAGCACATTTGTGAGGTCAGACATTGATGTTGACGAGAGGCCCTGGCTCGCAATCTCTGCTTTAATTCAACCGAATGATGTCCTGTTAGGTTGAGGTCAGGATTCTGTCCAGGCCAGTCAATTTCAGTCATGTTCCTTCTATGTTGGAATAGAAAGGGGGCATCCCCAAACTGTTCCCACAAAGTTGGGAGAATGAAATATTTCAAAATGTCTTGGTTTGCTAAAGCATTAAGGGGCCGAGCCCAATTCCTGAAAAACCATGCCCCATAGCAAACTATGATCCCCCTTCCACCAAACTTTGCACTTGGCACAATGCTGTCAGACAAGTACTGTTTTCCTGGCAATTGCCAAACCCAGACTCATCAATCAGATTGCCAGACAAAGACGTGTGATTCGTCACTCGAGAGAACACGTCTCAAATGCTTCAGTAATGTCGTGTTTTACACCACTGCATCTAACACCTTGGACTTATTGAAATAAAGCTTGGATCTAGCATCTTGGCTATGGAAAACCATACCATGACTCTACGCATTATGTGCCTCCGCTAAATCCGCTCTGTGATTTTACGTGGCCTACCACTTGGTGGCTGAGTTGCTGTTATTCCCAATCATTTTCAGTCACTGAGAGTTGATTGTGAAATATTTAGCAGCAAGAAAATTTTACAACTGCACTTGTCAGACAGCTGGTGTTTTTTTCACGACACCATGCTGGAATTCACAGAGCTCCTGAGAGTAAACTATTCTTTCAGAATTGTCTGTAGAAGCAGTCTGCATGGCTAGGTGCTTGATTTTATACACCTGTGACCATGGAAGTGATTAGAACACCTGAATTCAATCATCTGGATGGGTGATTACCTCTGGCAATATAGTGTGTATAACAGTGTATTAAGTTAGATTTCTGAGGGTTTTTTTAACATATAATAAGTGAATATTGAATATTGCCTGGAGTTGGAAACCTTAAAACCTGGTCAATAATACAACCTTACATTTTAACAGTGAAGAGCTAAATTTACCTTGTCTTTTCTGTGGATGGTCATGCTTGAAAGAAGGAGAGCGTGAGAACCGATTTGCACTACTGGTACTTGTATCTAACAAATATTGATGTAAAACAGCTATGTAGCTATGTATGGCTATTTAACAATAGCCATACATAGCTCCATATGCATGTGTCTGTGTGTCACTAGACTGTAAGTAAAAGAAGGTGAAATTTACCTTGTTGTATTTCTGGAAGGTCACTAGTTTGGCTATTCTCACTACTTGACGAAGAACCTGTTGAGTACAAGGGCATAACACATTTACAAGAAATTAAAAAAAATCTTATGAATGTATGTAAAAATCTTAACTGTACTTAAGTAATAATATATATCGTCATATACTATAGTTTTATACTATATGTAAGGGGTTTCTGAAAATCTATCATGTGAATGACAACATAGCAGAATTTCGACTGACTTGACCTTTTCCATGTGTTTGTGATTCATGTGCAAGATTTAACACTTGAAGCAGACTGCTACACCAGCGGATTTTGTGGCAGGAATTTAAATCAGATAAAATTACACAAATGTTTGCACTTTTACTTTTAATTCTAACCTGTGAGAAATACATAAAATCAACTAAATGAAAAGCCAGCAGTGTTTGAATTACTGACTAAAAAAATGGATGCCTGTTGAATCTACACTCATGAACTTACGACACGTTAAGATTAGGCTGATTATACAAATCATTTCATTATAATTACTTTTGTGTTTTTTTTAATTATTATTAGTTTGCGGCATAAGGTAGTCCAGGTGTTTCTGACACCTATACTCAATTGTTGCATCAAGAGGCCTACTTACTGTAACTATATATACATATATATATATGAATTAGGGGTGGGAATTTAACACGTTAATTGCGATTAATTAATTTGAAAAAAAAAAAAATAACGTGTTAAAAAATTAACGCATTTAACGCACTTTGCATTCCAAGCAAAGGGGAACTTTTGTCAGTGCACGATTTCCTAGTATACCGATTACACTACACAGCTAGAAAAATGGAAGAATCGGAAGAAAGTGCTTTGCTAGGACTGATCGGAGGCAAATTTCATTTCAAAAGACTACCCGACGGAAGCCTTGATAAAATCTTGGTTTTGTGCAAACTGTGCAAAAGGTTTGCATACCACCGAAGCACCTTATGGTACCATCTAAATGCAAAACATGTTGCAGTGAGCACAGAAACTGTGGGAGCTGTTAGCCCTAGCCGTTCGAGTATCAACAAAAGGTGTCGGCAGCCCAAACTTGATGAAATGACTGGTTTTAGGACCAAAATTAGTGAGTCAACAGACAAACTTACAAAATCTCTCAGAGAATGGATTGCTGTAGACCACCATCAGTGGTACAAGATAGGGGGTTAGAAAATGTGCTATTTAGAGTCAGGTGATTCAACTTTCCAAATGCCATGCAGAAAAACTATATCATGTAAAATTCAACAGCTTTATGACATTGAAAAGCAAGCAAATAATATTAAATTCGATTAATAGAGATTCATTAATTACAAAACCTCTAGTTAATTAGATTAATTTTTTTAATCGAGTCCCACCTCAATATAAATATTTACATCTTATTTTCTCTAACAGTGTAGAATAAATATTCCCAAAACACTGCCACTTAACTTCCAGTTTACCTGCTGCTTTTTCATCCTTGTGTCTTTTTTCTTTATGCAAAACGTTTTCCTCTGCAGAAGAGAAGAAAAAAATCAGAGAAAACAGAGGTTGGACATTTTTGTTGCTGTTATCCTATTGGATCGGCATGACATCTAAACAACATGGAAACAGACCTGCTGTGCAAGCTGGGCCTGCAGGAGCAAAAGAGAAGATGCTGGGATGAAAAACCCCCAATACTGTTAGATGTAGATATTTGCATTGTACTGTCAGTCTATTCTAGCTTCATCAAAAAAACACCCACCGTTTACGGTCAACAAAAAGTGAAAGTAGACTGACTGAACAGTTTGGTCATGCTGTGATCCGGCATTGGTTATTGGAGTACATGCGCAGCCCCGCCCACTATAACCACGCGATTGCTGCAAAATGTCCACCCTACTGTTACTCATTTTATATTAAGATTTAAAAATCTAGTTGGTATTGGTAAGGTGAGTAGCCTTCAGTAATAGTAATAAATCACACAGCAATAGTACATTCATGTAGTTGTAAAAAGCATGATAATATATTATGTAATCCAAAGTATTCAGAATACATTACTCTCATTGAGTAATGTAACGGAATACGTTACAAAATACATTTTGGGGCATGTATTCTGTAATCTGTAGTGGAATACATTTTAAAAGTAACCTTCCCAACACTGACCTTAACACCTGGTGAAGAGCTAAATTTACCTTGGTGGGGACAACATTGCACTACTGGTAATTGTATCTAATAAACCTTCATGTAAAACAGCATTAAAATTTAACAATAGCCTGTGTTAAATTTTACTGGAGTGCAAAGAAAAACAAGGTGAGATTTACCTTGTTGCATTTGTGGAGGGTCACTGGTTTGGCTATTGTGGCGCTTCACTGGACCACTTGACGAAGAACCTGTTGAGTACATTGGCATAATACATTTACAAGAACTTTAAAAAAAATCTTATGAATGTATGTAAAAATTTTAACTGTACTCTAGTTCTAATTTACCATATAGTCATATGCCATAGTTATATACTATATGTAAGGGGTTTCTGAGAATCTATCTTGTGAACGGCAACATAGTAGAATTTTGACAGACTTTACCTTTTCCATGTGTTTGTGATTCATGTACAAAATGTAACACTTTTTGTACACAGACTGCTCTGAGCATGGCATGGGCAGAATGACATGTTAATTGAGACTTCATGTCTCTGTTATTTCCATTCTATGGATTCATGTAAAAATATATGTAAAAGCAAAGAAGGTTGAACCGTGGTCAGATATTGTGTCTATTCAATACCAAAGACATGGCTTATGAATATTCAGCATAAATGGACTGGATCAGATAGAAAACTGGATTAAAAACCTTTGTCCTGGTTCTGCAATGGTTGAGATTTCCTGAGGTCCTCCAGTAGATTGATATGTGCATCAAGGAAATCTTGCACTTTATTCATTTGGGTCTTCATTTCCTTCAACATTTTCAGGTAGCCGACCAAAACTCCATTTTCGGTTAAGGCGGCTAGATGGAAAGTTTAAGGTTATGTATAAGAATCTGCATCTGATATTTTAAAACTTCCCCAAAACATCCTAAATCCATCCATCCATCTATTTTCTTCCGCTTATCCGAATCAATCAAATGCAAGAGCCAACAATGTTAGCAGGCTGTACTTACCCCTGAAATATTCATGTGGGATGAAGTCCTTGAATTTTTCTATGAGCACACCAATTGGTTTCTGAAACAAAGAAAAACAAATAAAAGTGTTTATTGTCCAGATCTGACTTTCTATATGGGTTACACACATCCAGCTGAATCCCTCTCCTCTCAGTTATACACAGCTTGCTTGCTTACCTGCTTGTGTATTATATCAAAGATTTCCCTTATCCGTTTGACATTTTCAACTCCAGGTAACAGCAAACCCAGGTCTTGTAAAGTCAGTAACTGGAGATCTGAGTCAGCTCTCAAACCTTCCTCTGAAAGATTAGATCTGTTATTGATCAAGTAGTCTCCTGATTGTCTGTGAAGGTTCTCAGTCCTCCAGGTCATTGTAGTCTAAGGAGCTTGGAAAGAAAAGCGTCTGGACTTTTTTAAGTTGCTTGAAGACGTTTCACCTCTCATCCGAGAAGCTTCTTCAGTTCTAAGAGTCAAATGGCGGAGAGTCCCAGATTTAAACCCAGTGGGAGTTTCCCCCCAAAGAGGGACAAAGGACCCCCTGATGATCCTCTACCTAATCACATGAGTCAAGGTGTGAAAACGGGTGTGGGTCACAATGTGCCAGGGTTTCAGGTGAGCTCATTGTGAAACCTGGCCCCACCCTATCATGTGATTTCTTGAGGTCAGATGGCCCAGGGTGTGAGTGGGTGTTAAGGTGTCTGGGAAGGGAAGATGGTCGCTCACAGTGGACATAAATGGCTTCTTTCACTCCTCTTTCAAACCAGCTGTCCTCTCTGTCCAAAATGTGAACATTGGCATCCTCGAAAGAGTGTCCTTTATCCTTTAGATGCAAATGGATCGCCCAGTCTTGTCCCATGGAGGTGGCTCTTCTGTGTTGTGCCATGCGCTTGTGAAGTGGCTGTTTGGTCTCTCCAATGTAGAGGTCTGGGCATCCCTCGCTACACTGTACAGGATACACCACATTGTTAAGTTTGTGTTTTGGAGTTTTGTCTTTGGGATGAACCAGTTTCTGTCTGACTGTATTGCTGGGTCTGAAATGCACCGGGATGTCGTGCTTGGAGAAAACTCTCCTGAGTTTCTCTGATACACCGGCTACATAGGGGATGACTTTCTTATCCTCCCTAGCTGGTGTCCGATCTTCTTTTCTGTGCATCTTTACTGACTTTATAAATGCCCAGTTAGGATACCCGCATGTTTTGAGTGCTTCCTTTACATGTGTGTGTTCTTTCTTTTTCCCTTCAGGCTTAGAGGGAACATGTTCTGCCCGGTGGTGTAGGGTCTAATTTCTCCAAGTTTGTGTTCCAGAGGGTGATGGGAGTCAAAGAGGAGGTACTGGTCTATGTGTGTGGGCTTCCGGTAAACTTCAATGTTGAGGTTGCCATTCTCTTCAGTGTGCACAGCGCAGTCCAGGAAAGGCAAACAGTTATCCTTTGTGTGAACTTGATGTTTTTATCCACGGCGTTAATGTGCGCTGTGAAGGATTCCACTTCTTGTGTTTTGATTTTGACCCAGGTGTCGTCTACATATCTGTACCAGTGGCTGGGTACTCTAACTTTAAAAGAGCCAAGAGCCTTTTTTTCCACTTCCTCCATGTAAAGGTTGGCTACAATAGGTGACACGGGGGTGTCTGTAGAAACCCTCATTGTATTCGAAATATAAAGTGGTAAGGCAGAGGTGTAACAGGGTGCAAATCTGATCGGGTGTGAAGTTGGTCCTGACTTCCAAGGAGCTGTCTTCTTCTAGTCGTTTTCTGAAAGTCTCCACTGCCTCCGTGGTAGGTATGCAAGTGAAGAGAGAGACTACATCAAAGAACACTATGGTTTAATCTGGATCCAGGGTAAGTTTCTGGACCTTGTTGGCCATCGGGACCATCTGACCTTAGAAAAACACATGATAGGGTGGGGCCAGGTTTCACAATGAGCTCACCCGAAACCCTAGCACATTGTGACCAACACCCGTTTTCACACCTTGACTCATGTGATTAGGTAGAGGATCATCAGGGGGTCCTTTGTCCCTCTTTGGGGGGAAACTCCCACTGGGTTTAAATCTGGGACTCTCCGCCATTTGACTCTTAGAACTGAACAAGCTTCTCGGATGAGAGGTGAAACGTTTTCAAGCAACTTAAAGAAGTCCAGACGCTTTTCTTTCCAAGCTCCTTAGACTAGTCTCCTGATTATACATTATAAAAGTTATTATTGTTTGTTGTTGTGATTTGGCGCTGTATAAATAAAACTGAGTTGAATTACAATTATAATTCAATTTATGGCTTTGTTAGCTTTTTTCTTGTTAGTTTGCAGCATAATGGAGGAACAATGGAGCCTACTCAGTGTAATATATTTATGCCTATTTACATCCTATTTACTCTGACAGTAAATATTCTCAAAAAACTGCCATTTACCTTCCAGTTTATTGGCTGCCACTTCATCCTTGCGTCTTATTTCCTTAAGCAAAATATCCATGATTTCACCTGCAGAAAAGAAGAAAAAATCAGAGAAAACGGAGGTTGGACATTTCTCATACTGTATAGTTCCTGTTTCTGTTCTCCTGTTGGATTGACATAACATCTGAACAATGTGGAAACAGACCTGCTCTACAAGCTGGGCCTGCAGGAGCAAAAGAGAAGATGCTGGGATGAAACCCCCCCCCCCCCCCCCCCCCCCCCCCCCCAAAAAAAAAACCCCCAAACACTTTTAGCTGTAGATATTGTTGATCGTGTTGTCAGTCTAGCCAAGCTGATCACAAAACGCCCATCATTTCAGAATTAACCCACAAGGGTTAGTGTTCATGGGAATTTGTGAAGTCAGACGTTGATGTTGACGAGAAGGCCTGATTCCCAGTCTCCACTCTAATTAATCCCAAAGTTGTTGTGTCGGGTTGAGGTCAGAACTCTGCGCAGACCAGTCAAGTTCTTCCACACCAAAGTGGCTAATTGATGACTTTATGGACTTTGCTTGGTGCATTGGTGTGCAGTCATGTTGGAGCAGCAAGGGCCCATTATTGACTAAAAAAATGGATGCCTGTTAATCTGTCCGTTACATTGAGAGAATGACATGTCAACTGAGACTTCATGTCTCTGTTATTTCCATTCTGTGGATTCATGTAAAAGTAGATGTAAAAGCAAACAAGCCTGAGCTGTGGTCAGATATTGTGTCTATTCAATATCAAAGACATGGCTTATGCATATTCAGCATAAATGGACTGGATGAGATAAAAAGCTTTACCTACATTAAGTTGAAGTTTGCTACCCTCTGTAAAAGCTTTGAATCTGCACTCATGAAATTAAGACACGTTAATATTAGGCTTAAAAAAACTGGATTAAAAACCTTTGTCCTGGTCCTGCGATGGTTGAGATTTCCTGAAGTCCTCCAGTAGATTGATATGCGGATCAAGGAAATCTTTATTCATTTGGGTCTTCATTTCCTTCAACATTTTCAGGTAGTCGACCAAAACTCCATTTTCAGTTAAGGCAGCTAGATGGAAAGTTTAAGGTTATGTATAAGAATCTGCATCTGATATTTTAAAACTTCCCCAAAACATCCTAAATCCATCCATCTATTTTCTTCCGCCTATCCAAATCAAATGCAAGAGCCAACAATGTTAGCAGGCTGTACTTACCCCTGAGAGAGTCATGTGGGATGAAGTGCTTGGATTTTTCTATGAGCTCACCAATTGATTTCTGAAACAAAGAAAAACAAATAAAAGTGTTTATTGTCCAGATCTGACTTTCTATATGGGTTACACACGTCCAGCTGAATCCCTCTCCTCTCAGTTATACACAGCTTGCTTGCTTACCTGCTTGTGTATTATATCAAAGATATCCCTTCTCAGTTTGACATTTTTAACTCCAGGGAACAGCAAACCCAGGTCTTGTAAAGTCAGTGACTGGAGATCTGAGTCACTGCGTAAATCCGCCTCTGAAAGAGCAGATCTGTTATTGATCAAGTAGCCTCCTGATTATACAAATTAAAGTTATTATTGTTCGTTGTTGTGATTTGGCGCTGTATAAATAAAACTGAATTGAAATAACATTCAATTTGTGGTTCTGTTGATTTTCTTCTTGTTAGTTTCCAGTGGTTTCTGACACCTATACTCATTTGTTGCAACAATGGAGCCTACCTACATTGCATAAATATTTTCATCTTATTTACTCTAGTAGTGTAGGATAAATTAGGGCTGTTCGATATAACGATATATATCGGATTACGATATAAAAACGTCTATCGTTTCATTTTATGCTATCGTTTGTTTCGTGGTGTCGCAAAATAAACTGTTTACAGCAATATTTTTTCATCGTTTTGATGGTCACTGTAGTGGCTATATTAATTTCTTAAAGTTCTCTCTTTCTCTTATATTTAATATAACCACACTACAGACGGACAAGCGCCTGTTTTTATGTGTTGTGGTTAGCAACAACGACGGTAACAGCATCGCGTGTCCGCTTGTTTATGTTCCACATAAACCTTTAAACCTTAGACTCAAACGTTAGAACAGGCTTTTCCCCGCAGCACGCCGTGTTATAGATTCTCACAAAGAAAACGGCTTAACTTATGTCTAAAAATGTATAGTTTCATGCATCTGTTAAAGATTCACAGAATTTACAGAAAATGTTACATTTTTGTGATTTATATCGTTATCAGGACGATAGAATTCTTATATCGGGATATGAGATTTTGGTCATATCGCACAGCCCTAGGATAAATATTCTCATTTTCTCTGCCACTTACGTTCCAGTACAGAGGCGGCTGCTTGGTCCTTGCTTCTTATTTCCTTAAGCAAACCATCCATGATTTCACCTGCAGAAAAGAAGAAAAAGTCAGAGAATACGGATGTTGGACATTTCTCATACTGTATAGTTCCTGTTTCTGTTCTCCTGTTGGATCGACATGACATCTGAACAACGTGGAAACAGACCTGCTGTGCAAATGGGGTCTTCGGGAGCAAAAGAGACGCTGGGATGAAGAAAACCCCCAAATACTTTCAGATATATATTGATCTATCGTCAGTCTAGCCTAGCTTGATCAAAAACCGTTTACAGTCAAAGGAAAGTGAAAGTAGACTGACTGAAGTGGTTGGTCATGCTATGACGTCGCAGGGCTTTAAGCAATCATTGGTTCATGAGCAGCCCCGCCCACTATGACTGCTAAAAAAAGTCATGCACTGTGTGTTAAACGTACACATAATTTTTACACAAAGTACATTTCACATTTTGGCAAAACGAACAAGAACACCACCATGTCACAATGTAATCGTGCAATGTGTCTCATCTTTAAAACTTTAAAAGTCTATATAACAGTTATGTAAGGACTTCGTTGTTTCACTCGAGTCCCACAGCATCAGTCTTCAGGTTTGTGTTACAGAGCCAGATTGAAATAGCTCAGCATGCAAACACTTAAAACACCAGCAGGGTGCAGCAGTGCACAGTTTTTCTTTGCCAGTGCAACCCGTACAAAGTGCACACACTGCCATACATCTCAGTGCAGGCTTGTACAGTAAAAAGACTTCCCTCCAAATATGCTGCCGGTAAAAAGATTCCAAAAGAACACTAAAGGGCGTAATTTGAAAAGGAACAGGGACAAAACCAAGAAATGATTTCCTTTGTTTCATGTGCTGTCAGGATATTTAAAGGTGAGGAACCATTAGTATTAACCCATTTAATCTCAAATAATTTTCCCCTGCAAAATAAGTGCATGCATTTTACTCCTTAGACATCCCCTACACACAATATGTTTAATTTTGTTAATGTAATATGCGGTTAAAACAGCAACAATTGTTGCCAGTGTGATTAAATGGGTTAACACAATACTTGAACTTTGAGCATATGTACAGGATGTTCTTGCAGCCTCTCACAGTACAGCACTGACTGTGTTCTCTCCGTTCATTAAGCTTTCTGCTATTTAATAGTAGCTTCAGCAGCAATATTTTTTTTAATTGTTTTTAAATATTCTAAAAAGCTGAAAATGGCAACTTTTCCTTTATTTTTATTAGTACGTCTTCTTGTCCACTAGATTCAAATAAACTTCAATAAAAATTGTTCTGCACATGTAGCATGTGTGTGCTCACTCTGTCCTCAGAGCCAGTTTCACCAACAGCTCAGTCAAATTCGTGCTTCACTCTCTGTATGTCTGCAGAGAGCCGAGAGATAAAGAGAAGCTATCTTGAAGTCAGAAGCAGCGGCATGTTTGTCTTTGTGTCTATATAACTGTTTGAGTTTTTCTTGGAGGCCTTTTGGCAGTCGCTGACAGAAGGTGGAGTGCTTTTTTTTCTCTCGCCTGTCTCAGACTTTACTGCAGGGGGGAGACAGCTCCTGGTGGCTCTGCTTAGCTTCCTTCATGTATGCTGTTGGAATGAAACAGTGTTGTGTGAATCTGACTGCGTAACATAGCAGTCTCTATGCAATGACATTCAAAGCGTGTCTGAGAATGTGAAAACGCCTGGCTGCTCATTCTACGACGGCTCAGTGTTTAGCTTTTTGATTGTGGCTTTCAAGCTTCTTCGGTGGTCCCTTTGAAGAGAAAGCAAACAGTAATACTAACAGCAGGGTTTGAGCTTTAGTTTCAGTAAACAGCAGAAGTTGTTTTGATATTTCACTCTTTCTGGTTTTAATTAAACTGTAAGCAAATACGCCGAGCTGCTTCAGTGACCGTTACTTTATCTGAGGGGGAAGCAGTGACAAGCTTTGGCCAGAAGATGGTAATCAGGCATCATGGATCTATCGATTCAGCAAATGCAGGAGCGTTAATGGATAAGTTTAAGAGCACATTTGGACTCTAGCCTAACTTTTCAATGATGCCAAGTCTGCAGTGCATCAGAAAATACTGAACTGGAGCCAACGCTTAACCCAAACAGATGTCTCCGTCTTACTTAGTGGTCTCATTTACAGCTATCAAGATGATATCTAATATGTTTGGTTCCAAATAAGTAAGTAATGATTCATTTTGAATAAATAAAAGAGCAGTGAGTGGGAAAACATGTATTTGACCATGTGAAAAACTACAGAGCACTTTTGACCCAAGAAGTGCATCACACAGAGGAGGAGATTATAATCAATTAATCACATGTATGTTTAAAAAAAAACAAAAAAGTAAGGTCGATGATATCAGATTTGAACCTATGGTCAAAATTACCGCAAAGTGCAAGACCACAAAAGTGTGGATTTCTGATTTAGAGGCTGGTGCCTGCTGTCTGTACATCCTGCAGATGGCACAAGGAGATACAGTTTGTAAAACTGCGTCTTAAAAGCAAATCAAACTGACATAAACTCAGCATTTCTGCTCAAATCTCAAATTCCTCTTGAACTTAACTTCAAAAATTCTTGCAGAGCGGAGTCTGCAATCATGCGACCTGCCTTCATTTAAAGCCAATCTCAGAGAACATTCAAAGGACACCGTCGAGCCAACTGAGAAACTTAAAATTATTCTACATGCAGAACTTTTAGAAAACTTTAAATGGGCTCAGAGGCAAAAAAAAATCTGATTTGGTCCAAGGCTATAATGCCATGTCATGTGTACCAGCATACAGCATGTATTAGACTCTCTTTTTAGACCACAGACTGTCCTGTGCCTCATCATCTGCTCTGCTGATCATGTCAGAGTACGATGACTGCTGGCAGACTCACACTTCTATGCTATGATCAGAAATAGCACTCACTTGAGTTTCGACTGAGTCATGATAGCAAGACTACCTACATTGTGAAGCCTCATGGGTGCTCTTTGGTTGCTTTATTCAGTGATACGAAAACACTGCTGTATTGCCTGTGCACATTACATATAATTACATATAAACTGAGTCGAGGGTTTGGGGGGATGGAGCAGTCATATATAAAAGTAATAATTCCACTTTTCCTGATAACAGCTTAGACAACATTATGACGTGTTTGATAATGTTGCTTCAGGAATGTGAAATTGAATTAAAACAATTATAAAAAACAACAACAACTGTAAATACAGGCACATAAATAAAGGATGGACACAGTTATTAAAAAAACAACTACAAGGGAGAATGTATGATTTCCTGTGTGTGCATGCTGCAAAGAGCAGACGCTGACCTTTGGATTTCATAAGCAAAGAGTGGATGTGGAAAGACGATGTCAAGTGGGGAGAAGAAATTCTTATGTATTTGATCCTTTGATATGAATGGCAAGCAGATAAGCACAGATGAGAGGTTGCTCTAAAACAGGGGAACAGTGATGCAACTTGTGTTCCTTCGCACCAGGAGTCTGATCTCCTCCTCTTAACACACTCAATTATCTCAGAATGAGATTTTCTCTCGACTAGAAACAAGCAACATGTAAGATTAAAAGTCAACGCTTTGTAGGCACAGATGCACACACATTCACGCACACACACACACACACACACACACACACACACACACACACACACACACACACACACACACACACACACACACACAAAGCGCGCACTGTCACAGACATTGCCCTGAGTTATTATGCATTCATAAATCAAAAGGTTGTGACGGGAATTAATCTAAAACGATGGTGAGCGTAAGTCACCGGATGCAAATATGACAGCTTTATTAGAAAACTAGATTGCTTGAATTTGTCTGAATTAATGTGACACTTTTTCAGATTAAATAGCACTCCCTTCCCTTCACTTACCAAGCTGGGGATGGAGGGGGGAGGCGATTAAGGCGACCACAGAGAAGCAGAGGCTGCTCATATCCACAGTGGGGGTTTTTGTTTGTTGTTGTTGTTGTTTTTTTTACCTTATTGTTGTTTATACAACAGCAATACTTTTTAATTAAGTTTCTGAAATGAGCAGTCCAACTATGATCCGAACAAACTGAACAATCACATTCATAGTGAGCTCTAAATACAAATATTTAACTCATAATGATGAATATGGAAGCTGCTACTCTATGTCTGAGCTTAGATGGGCCAACTATTGGATGTAAATATTGATTAGTTGGCTGAAATTACAATTTTAAATGATTCATATGTTAGCAATTAGCAAGTATTTGCAGCAGTATGGCAGGGGTGTCAAACTCATTTTACATCATGAGCCACATGGAGCCCACTTTAATCTGAAGTGACATTTCTATAGTGTGAAAACACAGGAACTTTTCTACCATCTGCTATATGTTTGACTTACTTTAGTGTAGTATAATTAGCTATGGAGGTTATCAGTAGGGAAAGTTATAAAATATTATATTTTCCAAAGTTATCCAATGGGCCAGCTTCAAGTCTTTGCCAGGCCAATTCTGGCCCCCAGGCTTTATGTTTGACACACCTGGTCTATGCCTTTAGCCACAGACTTTCCTCCAAATATTGTGCCATCTCGCTCCACAAACCGATGACTAAAATCCCAAAAGCTTCCAAAACAGTAATCCACCAACCAGTGGGTGACATCCCCTACCATCTATAGGCCTCCAGCTAAATGGTTGTCATAGCCTAGCAGACACAGCCGTCCCGCTCTCTTTTCCTGGCAGTGCTCGGCAGGTATTGCCACTCCAGCTGCAGCCTCTTCAGCACACCTGTTCTCTGTTACCTGCTGGGGATTTGAAGACCAGGCTCTTCCACCAGTCTCCGCCAGATCGTTGTACTTAGCAGCAGTAATCAGACCTGTGCTTATCTTATGCTTTGCTTAACCTCGGGTTCTCGCTTTTCACCTCCTGGTGTGTTTGGTTGCTGATTCCTGGTGAAAGAAGCAGTCGGAGCCTGGATTGGGAAAATCAGGGATATTCAATTGGGATAGCACAAGGACATGCAAAACGTAAAAGTGTGCATCTTTAAAGCAAATCCAACTTGAATAAACTCCACATTGCTGCTCAAATCTTAAATTCCTCTTGAACTTAACATCAAAACGTCTTGCCGAGCAAAGTCTGCAATCATGCGACCTGCCTTCATTTAAAGTCAATCTCAAAGAACATTCAAAGGACACTGTCAAGCCAACTGAGAAACTTAAAGTTATTACATGTGCACAACTTGTAGAAAAACTTTATGTGGGCTCAGAGGTTCTTGTTTTACAAAAGCAACATTTAGAACAGGCAAAAAAATCAGAATTGTTTCAAGAC